CTCGGCCCTTAAAGGGGAAAGGTTGCCTACCCCTGACTTAGACTGTCGAACTAGGGAGATACCATGAGAAGGCATGAATTGTTGGGAAAGACAATAAGGTTAGGAAAGGTGGAGGGAAGTAGAAAGAGAGGAAGGCTACATGGACTTTATTAAAGAGACCACGAATATGAGTTTGCAGGAGCTGGGCAGATCAGTAGAGGACAGGGAGGGCCTGGAGATGTCTCATCCATAGGGTCGCCATGGGTCGAGATTGACGCGAAGGCAGTTAACAACAACAACAAATGTTCTTAACAACAATACTAATTTGCCTTTTTTCCCAAGACCTCAAATGGCATATATGGCACTCCTCACCCACCACTTAATCCTCACAGTAACCCTGTAGGATACATTATGCTGGAGACAGGGGTCCAAAACTTCTCAGGACATTCATGGCCAAGTAGCAATTTCAACCTTCTAGACTTAGTCCATTTCTCTAACCCCTACATCATGCTGGCTGCCAAAAAGTACATATGAAAGGGCTACATATCCACTTCATGGTATCTACATGAGTTTTACCCTTGCTTTCATGCTGACACACTTGTTTTCTATGTGCAAGGCTATTCATTTATTTGATACTGAAGATCCCACCCACTGCTGCTGAAACTTGCAGTTCAACAATTAGAAGAACACAAGTCCCACTCTTGCAAATTAAATTACTTCATACAAGACATAGTTTTGAATACAGTCAGCCCTCCTTTTTAATGGGGATCCATTCAGGACCCCCCAATGAAAATGGAAATTCAGCAATATTCAAGCCCCATAGGCTTGAATGGGGTGCACCCCCACAGGTGCGCAGGGATGCACTGAATATGCAAAACCGTGGACTTTAAGCCCATGAAAAAGGAAGGGCGACTGTATAAGCTTGGAAATCTATCTGCAAGGATGACAAAAAGTCTGTCACAAAATCTTGCAGATGGTAATTGGTAATTTTTGGGGGGGGGGCAGGGGGAGGTCTCTGTGCTTCAAGTATGCCTTAATCATAGCGACCTGGGAACAAAAAGAAACAGGGAGTTTGTGCCAATCTGTACCTACTCCCCTGCTTTAGATTTTTACATGCTCCTGGTGTTTTATTTCTGCTGCCACATCACTATGGTTAAGACCAGATGAAAGCAGTACATATTGTATGTAGTACTAATAACACTATTTGCTAATTAGTAAATTATCTGCATTGTCCCCTTTTTAAACAGCCCCAAAGAAGGTTGTACAAATATTTCCCATCCAAAAAATGCTTTAAGGCTTTTTTTTTTTAATGAAGCCA